AATTCTCTTAAATTCATTCGAAGCGAGCCTAGGGTTTTCAGATTGTGCTGCCTCTATTATTACAGCGAAGATAAATGATAATTTGTACGGCCTATGAACTTGGATTTTTATTTATCAGGCAGACTTTTATTGGTAGGTGTTAAAGCCGCTTAATTAAAGGCAGCTTAAGACAGGGAGAGAGTTCGAGCTCTGCACAAAATCGAATATTTAGTTAATATGTTTAACAAACTATAAGTTATTTACATCTGAATTGTGAAGCATTAGCTGCGTTGTGGAATGCGTTTAAACGTGACTCACTATTGTTTTCTCGAAAATAAATAACGACATGGCCTTAAACTCCGTGACGAATCTGCAGAAATTAGCATATTTTTAATATATCTAACGTGATTTCTTTTATAAGTGAAGTTCAAATAGCAAGTGAATTGTGGAATATACCTTGGCCCTGGTCTGGACTCTGCCCAAAATATATACATATATCTATCATATACCATGATTCAATACAAAAGTAGTTCCCATGTAAGCAATCAGCTACAAGTTCAAGCTCCACAATGTCTCAGGTAACTCTCGTAATACAATTGTCAACACATTAGCCCCAGCTCTATTTGCCTTTGGCTGCTGTTTGCGAATTCAATTAAAGCTGTCGCATGACAAAAGAATTCATTGTTTGATAGGCAAATAAAAGACCTAAAGGTATTAGAATGAAGTAATTGGGCAGCAGTTTGTTCTCCTCCTCCTTCTTCTTCTTCTTCTGCTTCTTCTGGGCAGGTTTCGAATTAAGATCTGAAAAGTAAAACTGCAAAAATGCAATCTCAGCTGCATTTCGCAGAGCTGGACAAACTTGTTCAGCGAGTTTTCCTTGCAGACAGAAATCGAAAGCAATAAAAGTTGAGAAATAATTACCTAACTTCGAGGAAGTTTTGCGCAACTCAAGTTCCATGACAAGTTTATTGCACGGATCGCATAAGTAAACAAAAAACATTTAAGTGTGCTTTAGAGGAGAGTGTCTGACTGAAAGATACGCTGAAGGCCTCTATGGAGCTGTTGAATGACTGAATGAAGAGACAGACGGAGGGAAGGATAAAAGAGAAACGCAGCTACAGAAAACTAGAGAGATAGATACCGTAGGATACTCTTAGATCGACTCTGATCAAGAATGCATTATGATATTTACTTAGACTTTTTAATATCATCTACTCCTTCTTTCGACTGTTACAAACATTTTCACAAACACGCAATACCCCAATCAGCCATTTTCAATGGTTTTAGGGTATCAAATAAAGACAGAAAAAAAAAACATTTATGTGTTTGTCAGCAATTTTGGGAGTCGAGCTCGCTGTACGTGACGCGCTGTCTTTGAGAAGGAGAAAGGCGTGTCAAAAAAAGTCGAGCAGCGTGGTCTTCAAAATCTCTAGAAGCTCTCCAGATGGGCCAACTTGAAAAGCGCACGCACAATCGTACATATTCACATATATACATGTATGTATGTATATATTGAGCCATTTCAGTATTAAACTGATTAGTTATAGCGAATTTTTGTTTATTTAATTTATGGCCGCTTTTTAATACAGCTGCAAAAAATGCTGTTTACATTACAGTTTGAAGAATGTTCACTGCATTCATGAAAGAGACGAAGAAGAAGAAGAAGAAGTCGACTATAAACACGAACACACTTTTTCATAGAGCTAACAAAATCTTGTTTCTTAATGCGCTCAAGTGCGCAATTATAAACAGTTCATGTTTAACAAGCAGGAATGCGCTGGAGTAGACCCGTACCGTCGTATACCCTGTACCATACCTAGAAATCTCTGACGACTCTAGAATGCAAGTGCTTGATATATAGATAGCTTGATATAGATATTGTAGATGGTCCATTGGACTATATATAATCTGGAATATATGTGCCCATATATCTACGTGTACACACATATGTATATACGTTCGTTACACTTGCCTGCCTTTCGCTCCCCGTCGCTCTTCCTCTCTCTGTCCATTGCTACCATTTAATTAAGCCCTTCTGTTTCGCTGTTTTTCAATGGGTATTATGAAAACATGGCCCTAGTAGTACAGCTCGTTTCTGTGTTTTATCTTGTCTTCATTTTTGAGCATCTCCGAAATTGTCATCATAAAAAAACGTCATAATTAAGATGGATGTGCTTGAAGAGGGACTGAAGCTGAGTCGCCTGAGCATGACTTCATGCGGCGCTCTCTTCTCTCTCACTCTGAATGGCGTACGCCGAAAAAAAAATTCACTTCCAGTATGGAAACGCACACACACACACACTTACACATAGACAATAAGTGGATATATATAGTCTCTATATACCCAATGTGCACTTCATAAACAATTGGCTGGCCTAGATGGAGAGCAATAACAAAAACATTTCACGATTACAATAACAAGAGGTTGGTCGACTGGGCAGAGGGAGGAGGGGCAGCCGGTTGTGTAGGGGTTGCCCCTCTTTCAATAATTTGTAAAATTAAACGAATTAAATACACACACACACACACATACGCACACTTACACGCAGAGAGTGTGGAAAATCGTGGCGAGCGAACGAGATTCGCTGCTGGTGCTAAACAAATGCCACGACATATTCCAATTAATTAAATGAAATGAATCTAAAATTCAAATCGCCAGCCAAAGAGTTAACAGTTATTGAGCTAATTACCGCACCCCCACCCAATCCCCAATTAAATGTGCGCCAGCTACGCCACTGTTTATGGCACGAAAAAGTGAAAAAAAAAAAATACAAATCGTGGGCGTAGCCAATAGAAATTAAGCAGGAGCACGAGCAGGTAGGCTAGAGAGAAGGAGAGAGAGAGTGAGACAGAGAGCGAGAGTGAGACAGTGAAGAAGGTTTCGGCATGTCCATGCCTTAAGCAGTCAATTATTTAGTTTATGCAGCTAATAGAGCAATAAACATATGCAAATGCTAACACAAACACAGCCATATATAGAGTTGGATTAATGTACTGATAATTGAGCCTAACGGAAGTGGCGCATGAGTGTGCGTGCGTGCGTTTGCCAGTGTGCGCGCGTGTGTGTGTGCGTGCCTTGGGCCAATATTAATTGAGAAACGCAGTGAAAACTGCAATCTATAGATATATAATATACATTTATATGTATATATATCTACTATTATTCTCTCATATCATCAGCTCTTGCTTGCCCAAAGGCGTTGCCTTAAAAGGCAGCTTCAAGTGTCTCTTTTTTATTTTTTTTTTAATAGAGCTGCCCACTGGAATAAGCCAAAAATTCGTTTAGAAAAACTCTTTTTAGATGAGGTCACAGCACTTTTAAAAAATATAATGAATATATATCTACATATGTATATCTCTATGCATAGCATAGTGCTTGAAGTATTTTTTAGCAATTTGTCTTAAAAATTTGTTATTAATTAATTGCAGTTTCTTTTGTTTTAGCGCGTCATTTGTTCCTTGATTCGAAAAACGTGTTTTCAAACTTTTTTTTATATTTAATTTATTGTTGTTGTTGTTGTTTGTGTGGGTCGTAAGTGCTTGGCAGTTTGCAACTGCGGTTTGCTCGTTTGTTGTTGTATCTGCATTACAGGCATGATTCACTTTAACTGTCATTTAGTATATTGAGATTCCAGTCGATGAGTGTAGGCACACGGCATCTCTTAAGATAAATCACTTTCGATTTGCATATGTATGTATAAATGATTCACTTCGTTTCGAATATTATTTCACTTGTTAAGTTTTTGAAAATTGCCATTTTTGGATTTTTTCAATTTAAACACTCACTAAATGCTTGCGCGCCAGACAACTGCACTCCGAAATATCCAAAGACCAACTGATCAGTAACTTGAACCGATCAACAAGTTGCGATCCCCAGCAAACCAAAAAGCAAAGCTGTACATTTCAATGGAATTAAAAGCAGGCAAAAGTAGGCTTTCTAAAGAGAGAAAGAGACAGAAGGGTTTGATTAATGTGAACACCTAAAAGTAGGCAACATAAATTCAAAATCAACCAAACTTATGTAGTACATATTATGTACATACATAAAGCTAATCTCTTATATATGTATGGCATATCTTTCATATAGTTATATATATATATATATATATGCTGAATTGCAAATAATTTGATTTACATTTCACACTAACTAAGCTTTACTTCAATTACAGACTTTATGCATAATCAAGTTGGATGATACGGAAATATTAAATCTGAGAAGTCAAGGAAGCAATCAATTGATTTACACTTTGTATAAATTATAAATAAATAAATTAAAATATAATATTAAGCCAAACTTTACATGTATGATTATGGTCATTTGAAAAATAAATAAAGGTATTTCATTGCATACTTTCACGCATTTTCATTAAATGCAAGCACAGTACTTATTAAAATGTGTAGCATAGTTTTATGCTGACGACGTAAATAATTCAGCTTCAATTATCAAAAACTGTTGCATACCGAAGAGCGTGACAATTGTAGACGAGCAAAATTTGTATATTTTTCAATGCGAATATCTTCCGTAAATATGAACCGATTTCGAAATGATGTACACTTTTGTATTCGTGCTGAGCTGCTTTTTCGTTTGACAGCACTAAATCAGAAATCCAAGAGATGTCCATTTTCGACAAAAAACGTGATATTAAGCCCATATTATTGATCGAAAAACGACTTCTCTGGAAAATTTTTGATGGCAATCGATGCTAGGCATCGTCGCGAGCACAAAGAGGTATGCCATTTCAGGATCGAACATATATAACCAGAGAAATGATCATTTAAAGATCAATTTATGTCGGGCTGCAATTGCAGCTTAACAGCCCTTTAACATACCCGTAACAGAAACTGCAGCCCATTAACATCAAATTTAAATTTACAAATCAGCCCAAAAGTATGCAACGATATTCGTAGGAATTTTTATTTTAGCTTGCACAAAAGTGTACAATTGTTAAATGTTCGAGCAACGATTAACCAGCGTTATCACTGCTCAATTTATATATGTACATACTAATTCTTAAACACAATAATTTAATTAAAATCAGATCTCCGGTCCCCATGAGATGACTTCCAGTGCAATGCTCTTCAGAGACACAGCATCGATGTAATGGCTGGCCAGCGTTTTAATCAGATTCTGAACATTCTGCGATTTCTGCAATGACAAAGAAAATACAATTAATATGTATATGTACATAGATTATATAGCGAATTTATTACCATAGTCTTGTCCAGCAGAGATTTGAATGCATCGCTGCGTATGGCTTCGTAGAATTTGGGAAAGACTGTTCCACTTTTACGTTTCTCGTTGATTAAAGCCACAAACCGATCGCGCGGCAGGTGCGTCAACAGCTCCTGGGCAAAGCTCACAAAACTGTTGAGGTTGATTGATCGCTTTGGCTCCTGCTGCTCTAGTGGCACAAGTATTACCACCAAACTATTTTCATGCACACTCCCTTCGTTCTCCTCCTTGTCAACCGCACTTTCAGTTATCGATGGATAGCCATAGCTCTTGTACGCATATGCTCTTAGCTGCTGCTCGACGCTTTTGTTGATAACAATTCGCGATCTGATAGCCGTATCATTCAAATGCACGAAATTTATAAGCTCAATTATCTCAGGCAGCGACTCGGCGCGTTGCTGCAAGTGCTTAAAGTCGGAACTGCGCAGAAATTTGATCGCTTTGCGGAATCCCGAATCGGTTAGCATATGCTCGGCGACGACCTCATCGACGGTGATACTCGGTATGAGATCAATGAACTCGCGCAGATCCTGCAACAGCTCTGGGGAATAGCTGACAGGATCAGCCTGCAGCTTGGCTGGCCACCAGCGACGGCTGCTTGCTTCCAGTGACGCACCGCACAACGCAAAACAAATCGCGAATAAAACTTTCGACATCTCCACCCAAGCTAATCGAACCGCACTCCTCCGTGTCTGGCAGTGAACTGACGTCTTGCGTAAAAATGAATTGTGCTCAGCGTCTGCTACTCACGCACACACTAGCATTCTGTCTGTATAAGTCTCTTGCTTATCAACGTAGCTAATTGAAGTTACACTCAGGTCAAGTCTCTCAGAGCAAGAAGTATACATGTGTATGTATGATACATATATGTTTATACGCATTATGGTGTGTGTTTTCGGCTCTGTTTATATGTATGCGGTTGAGCCGCGTCTGAAAGAGTCTACGCCGGCAAATTAAGTCGTTGAATTGTGTATGTATGTGTCTTCTTATACCTACATGCATGTGCTCTCTATCTTAACAAGAGCGAGGGAGAGCGCTGCGTCTTCCCACATACATATGTACATATGCATATGCAAATGCTGTGCAAGTACAGGTACTGATTGATTTTGGTGTATTTGTTTGCAATTGAGTTGTGAGGGACGAGAGGGAGCATATCTGTATATACATACCTAAATGGATGTTTCTACCTCTGCCTTTCTTATCTTAAAAAGAGCGAAGAGAGTGAGAGAGCAAATACCGGCAAGACAATTCCTTAGCTGTGTTCATTTTCTGCAAATAAATTTTAGAGCAAATGAGAGAGAAATATACAGTGGCTTTAATTAGTCTGCGCACACACAGGCATAAACAAAGATATTTGATGGGCGTTATAAGTTCGCAATGTTTTGTTTAATTTGACATTATTTATGAATTTCGCTTATGAGTATTATTTTTCATTTGTGTGAAAACAAATGTGTATATATACATGATTTATTTTTGAGAAATTGAGTAAACAGTAGTTACACGTAAACTAACTTATATATGTATGTATGTATGCCTACTTCTAATTTATACTGAGACTAAAATTAAAGATTGCACATTTCCGGCCCAAAGACTGCTAACATTTATCACAATTCGCATCCGATAACTAGCTGATGCGATGTAAGCTAGATATATGTATATTTATATAAATAGGTATATATTGTTCAGTTAACTATAGAGTATTCATTGCTTGCTTGGTACAGGGGGAGCCAGACAGGGACGTGTCACCCATAGAGGCAACTATTGCAATATCGCCTGCAGCTACCCCCTGCCCTACTAATGTTTATAATTCGTATATTGCACCTTATGGTTTGGCAAGAAACGTAGTAATATTGCACCTGTTGGTTGCTTAGCTTAATGGAAGTCTTTCGTATGGTTCAGATATTGCACATTCCTAGGTTATATACATATGTATATGTATATGTGTGTACTCCTATATAGATTTTATAAACTAACTTTTTCGTATCATCTTGTAGAGCACCGAGTGGGTTTCGATGCTCTCCGCACCTGATTCCCACATATCCTCGGCATTCGTCTCCTCGTCTGAAGATCCGCAACAGGTGCTGTGACCCCTTCGCTGCTCGTCCTCCGAGGAATAGGAGGACATCGTATTGGAGCTATGCCGATCATTAGTTTGTGAACGTGTCAGAGTCTTATCGGATTCAGCATCGCTCAGTTCCTCGCCAGCATTTGGCGCCACTCGATCGTTGCCCGGCGAGACCATGTGCTCGAGATCCTCAAAGCGTGAAGCGTCCATCTCCAACCTGTTCCCATTCACGCTCTCCTCCTCATTGTCCTCGATGGTATCGACTCGTATGATCTGTCGCTTGAAGTTGTAGCGATCGTAGACATTGCGTTTGTACAGCTCCGTGGAATCGGTGCTCATGTACCCACTGTCCAGCTGTCCGAAACGCTGCTCGTAGTAGTTCTGGCCCACCGGCTGCGCCTGGGAGCCCGGCTGAGCCGCTGCTGCCTCTATGATGGAGGCAATGCCATCTTCATCCTCCAAAAATCCAGCTGCGTTCTTGGTGCCATACGTCGGAGCTGGACTCTGGCTCGGGCTGAACTTGTTGGCTGCCATGGTCACGAATTTGCGCCATGCATTCTTCAGATCCTTGGCCTTCTTGGCCCGATCCTTCAGCCCAATGGCAATCTGCATGCCCGCGGTCAATTGCGCCGGCTCGATCTCGCAGCGATAGACGGTCTGCACATTCACAGTGGAGCTGGTTGTGGAGGTGGTGACGCCACTGCTGGCCGCTCTCTGGGGATAGGCAATGCCCACGGGCACTCCAGCATTCCTGTACAGCTCCTTGGTGCGCTCCGAGAGGTGGCTGCTGCTTCTGTTCGATCGCGAGCTAATGGACAGCGCATCAAATTGATTGAGATCCACATCTTTAAGGTTCTTTACATTGTTGTTGTTGTTGTTGTTGTTGCTGCTAGAGTCAAGATCTGAGGAGTCCTTCAACTCCAGCTCCTGCTCCTTTTCCTGATCCATTTCGTTAGTGCTCTCACGCTTCCGCCGATTGAGATACTTGTTGAGGCTGTAGTCATTGCGCAGGCTATTCATTTTCTTGCCGTAGATGCCTTCCATGCCGTCGTAGTCCGCATCCAGGTGCGCCTTCTGCTCCAGCACAGAGGACTTTCCCTTCAACTGCTTCGACTGCTCCGTCCTGGCCGAGATGACGCTGGACATGGTATTGTTGCAGGAGTTGTCCAGGGTATCCGAGACGCCGGTCAGCTCGGTTATCTCGCTACGCAGACTGTAGGCATCCTCATCGGCAGCTCCTCCCCTCTCCTGGTAGCTAGGCGAGGGCGGTGGCGGCGGCAACGGACGCTTGTTGTGCACCAATGGGGCGCAGTAGTGCTGCTTGGCCTTGCTCGGCTCGGCCTTCGCCGGCTGCTGTTTCTCTGGCAGCTTGGGCGACGATATCGTTATAGTGGTCTTATTAACACTGGCCTTGCTCACGTCCACCACGGACAGGGTGGGCGAGGACTGCAAGCCGCGCTGTCGCCTGGAGTGCTTCGCCTCCAGTGCCAGGATGCGACCCTGCTCGTCGCTCTGCTGCTGCGTCTCGCTCTTGATGTTCTCCTGCACAGCCAGGGGAGACTCGTAGATCTCGCGCAGATTGCGAAAAGAGTTGCTGGAGCGCAGTATGAAGGAGGCTGTGCGTGGCTTACTCAACTGGCTGTTCTCCGCCGGGCAGCTGCCCACCTGGCGACTGAGATCGGGCAGCGAGTTGATTTGATTGTAGTCCTCGAGATCGGCTCTGCTCTGCCGGCCATGATTATCCCAAGCGTTGATGTCGCAAAAGCTCTGCTTCTTGGGCTTGCGGTCGAGGGTGTCCGGCTCGAACTGGTCGCTGTCCGTGCGCTCCATATCGGAGGGTGGCTCGTGCTCCACCTCGATGGTCATGCTGCCACGAAAGGGCGTGTCGTACTTGATGCGTGCCGCCGCCTCCTTGTGCCGCTGCGCCTGGCCATGATGCTGGCCATGTTGATGCTTGCCGGCCAGACGCTTCTTTTGATCGCCCTCCTTGCGAAATCCGTTGACGCGATCGTAGACCGTATGGCTGATCTCCATCTCCTCCTCCAGCGGTAGAGCGGTGCTCAAACTGGGGCTGAGCTGGGAGCTGACATCGGATGAGGGCGAGCTGGAGGAGTGCGAGCTCTTGCGTTTGCTCGGCTCCAGACGCTCCAGGCTATCCGTCTCGTAGTCCACGATCAGATACTGAGGCGATTTGCGTCTGTAGATCGGCGAGTCCGGCTGAAACTGCTTCAGGCTCTTGCGACTCAGTGAGCTGTAGTCCGGCGTGGGCACGGACGGAATGCTGCTCTGTGTGCTGCTGTAGATGTCCTTGATCTTCTTCTCCATGGTGCTGTCGTAGTCCGGCGTGGGAATATGCGCCGCATACTCACGCTTCAGCGAGTCGTATATCAGCTCTGCTGGCTTCATGTTACGCAGCATATTATAATGCTGTCGATCGAACGAGTTGAGTGAGGTGGGCGTCGAGTTGGCCGCGGCAAATTGGTCCAAGACGTCGCCGCGCTTGCGCAGCGACTTGGAATGGCTGGAGGCGCTGCGCATGGAGCCAGCCGGCGAATCGGCCAGCATAAACTTGGGATTATTATAGATCTCTCCGCCAGTTTCGGCAAAGCTGTACAAATTGGCGGATACGGTTGCCGAATACGCCGTATAGCTGTCATAGGACGGCGACTTGGGCTTGACGGGCTCCGGACTGGACTTGTTGGAGCGCAGATCCTTGCTTGAGCTGGACTGCGGCTCTGGCATGGACTGCGGCTCTTGCTGCGACTTGGCCATGGGCGGCGGAGGGGGACGCTCCTTTGGCGCCGAGATCTCCTTGCGCTGCGTGGGCTTCGTAGGTGACCCGTTGCCCTTCTTCGGCTGCTGCGCTGGCTCCGAGTTGGGCACGCTCTGCAGCCATTGCTCGATGCTGTTGCGCTTGTCCCCCACGCTCTTGGCCTGCAAATTCTGCTGCTGCAGCAGCGGCGCCTTGCACCTGGTCGAGCTGGAGTCCAGGCTAGCCTCCTCGGGTATGATATTCAGCGACGGCTGGTAGCGCTTCGCAGCCATCTTATACTTGGCAATGGCAATGACCTCGCGAATCTTCTGCAGAAACTCAATGGCAGCCTGTGGGGGCTCCTGCGGGGAGAAGGTATTCCGATTAGAATGATTTCGATTACATGATTCCTTCACTTGGACCTACCGCTAACAGGTGTGGCTCAAAGTAGGCTGGATTGAAGTAGAGCTTCTTGCGCACATTGCCGTTGACCATGGCGCGAAGGTTCTCCAGTTTCTCCTCACTCATCAGATCCTCGATGACGGCCACATTCTCTGTGGGCAGGCACTCGTTGTCCTGCCGAAAGTCGTCCGACTCGTGGGAGGAGCTCTCCGCGCCGGAGGTGTGACCCGGCTTGGGCGATTTGTTCAGCTGTGGATGCACCAGAACCGAAACCGAGCTCTGCAGTAGAATCAGGTCAGGCTGTCTACCAGAGATCCAGTGCGAAGCTATTTGGACTCACCTTTATCTTCTCCTCCATCTCGCACTCAGAGTTCGAGTTGGAGATGTCGCTGACAAAGCCAGAGTTGTGCTCCCGCTCGCCCAGCTGTGGAAAGTGCTGCAGCAGCGGATTGTTCTTCACGATGCCCAGATCATCC